CTCCACCCGCTCAGCACTGTATCCACGCCACCAATTGGTAAGCACACCCGCTCAAGTGCGCCCGCTCAGAACTGTACCCGCCGCAAGCACAGCCCTGCATCACGCCCAGAACTGTCTCCAAGCCTACCAACTCGTAAGCACACCTGCTAAGTGCACCCGCTCAGCACTGCATCCACGCCAATTCGCACCAGTTCAATCGCACCTCTTCACAACTGCATCCACGTCACCAACTCGTAAGCACACCCGCACTGTATCCACGCCAAAATTGGTAAGCACAGCACCTGTATCCACGTCTAGCAACTGGTAAGCACACCCGCTCACGTGCGCCCGCTCACCACCTCGCACCCGCTCAAGCGTCCGCTCAGCATTGATTGAATTCTTGGCGCTGGCTTGCAGGCGCAGGCATTTTGGCTTGCCTGCTGATACATGTTATGCGCACAGGCGCGCCGGTCGTGCCTGCAATGGATCTGGAGTTGCTAACGTGCTTGGTGCTGGCATTGGTGGCGGCAGGAAACGCTCGGCATCTGGATGAGATTGTCGTAAAGAAGTGGAAAGCGGATTTGCTGAGCATGCATGGGCTAACCTTCTATGTGTACGCGCTGGACTTCTACGGCGGCTTCGGTGTCTTGGCAACGTCTATGTGTACGCGCTGGACTTGCTCTACGACTTTGGTGTCTTGGCGACAGCTATGCGTGCGTGCTGGACTTGCTCTGCGGCGTCTGTGTCTTGGCGCCGGCTATGTGTGCGTGCTGGACTTTCTCTACGGTGTCTTCGGCGTCTTGGCGACGGCTATGTGTGCGCGCTGGACTGCTCTACGGCTTCTGTGTCTTGGCGACGGCTATGTGTACGTGCTGGACGTGCTCTACGGCTTCTGTGTCTTGGCGACTTGCTCTACGGCTTCGGTGTCTTGGCCAAAGGCAAACCGCCCCTGGCCGTCTTGTTGCAAAAGCTGCCAGCTGGTGCGCGCACCTGCCAAAGCTGCCAACTGGTAAGCACACCCGTTCAGCACCCGCTCAGAACAACTGGTAAGCACACCCGCTCAAGCGCACCCCCTCAGAACTGTATCCAAGCCCACCAGAACTGTATCCAAGCCCACCAACTGATAAGCACACCCGTTCAAGCGCACCCGCGCAGAACTGTATCCAAGCCCACCAACTGGTAGAAGCACACCCGTTCAAGCGCACCCGCTTAGAACTGTATCCAAGCCCACCAACTGGTAAGCACACCCATTCAACTGCGCCCGCTCAGAACTGTATCCAAGCCCACCACACCCGTTCAAGCGCACCCGCTCAGAACTGTATCCAAAGTCACCAACTGGTAAGCGCACTTCTCAAGCGCACCCGCTTAGAACTGTATCCAAGCCCACCAACTCGTTCAAGTTCACCCGCTCAGAACTGTATCCAAGCCCACCAACTGGTAAGCACACCTGTTCAAGCGCACCCGCTCAGAACTGTATCCAAGCCCACCAACGGGTAAGCGCACACGTTCAAGTGCACCCGCTCAGAACTGTATCCAAGCCCACCAACTGGTAAGCACACCCGTTCATGTGCGCCCGCTCAGAACTGTATCCAAGCCCGCCATCTGGTAGGCACCAACTGGTAAGCACACCCGTTCGAGCGCGCCCGCTCAGAACTGTGTGTCAGTGTGTTGTTGGCTAGGGTTGGTTTTAGTTTGCGCGAACACAGCTGTGTGGGGCAAAGAGGTTTTGGTGGCCAAACAACGCGTTTTCCATGGGTGGGAACCACGCAGTGTTTATGACTTGATCGGTGACATTGTTCTTCGGGCAAACCCTCCCCGGCCGTTTCGCGTTGTTTCCCAGGCAACCCCCCCCCCCGTCCAACCTTGTTGTTGTTGTTGCTGTTGCTGTTGCTGTTGTTGTTGTCGTCGTCGTCGTTGTCGTTGGTGTTGGTGTTGGTGTTGTTGTTGGTGTTGGTTGTTGTGCGTTGTTCTTGGTTTTCTGTCGCTTGCTGTTGTTGTTTTTGTTGTTGCTGTTGCTGTTGCTGTTGCTGTTGCTGTTGCTGTTGCTGTTGCTGTTGCTGTTGCTGTTGCTGTTGCTGTTGCTGTTGTTGTTCTTGTTGTTGTTGTTGTTTCTGCAGCTGCTGCAGCTGCTGCTGCTATTGTGTTTGTGTTGTTGTTTTTGTCGTTGCTGTTGTCGTCGCCTTCGTTGTGCTTGTGGTTGTTGTTGTTGTTCTTGTTGTTGGTGTTGGTGTTGGTGTTGGTGTTGTTGCCGTTCTTGTTGTTGGTGGTGGTGGCGGTGGTGGTTTTTGGTGGTGTTGGTGTTGGTGTTGGTTGCTGTTGGTTGTTGATGTTGTTGTTGGTTGCTGTTGTTGTGGTTGTTGCGTGCGGTTGTTGTTGTCGTTGTTGTTGGTGGTTGTTGTTGGTGCTGTTGCTGTTGCTGTTGCTGTGTTGCTGTTGCTGTTGCTGTTGCTGTTGCTGCTGCTGCTGCTGTTGTAGCTGTTGCTGTTGCCGTTGGTGTTACTGTTGCTGTTGCTGTTGTTGT